TTGTTGGTACACGTCCCCACGCCTAGGATTCCTAATCCTTGGGGTTCCCAACCGGCCCCGGCCCCGCAGCTGCCGAACTTGAATGATTACCTAAACCACTTGGAGGGGACTGTGCCTTAACCCATATTTGTGTGTAAAATACCAAAAAATACTCTTATGACGCCCCATGTCTAGGAACAAGGTGCATATTTTTTCAGATTTTTAGCTCTTTTCCTGTTGCCTCAGGATTTTTCTATGTCAGTAGTTTTCTTTTCCGCCCGGTAAAGATTAACTTTTTTGTAGTGTAAAGTCCTACTTTTTGACTCACAACAGTAGAATTTTTGGCCATTGTTTTGTTTGTACGCATCATGAGGATCACAGACCTCATAAAATGGCTCATCCAGCCATGCATGGCTTCCTTAACATCTTGTGTGTCTCCTCTTGCCGGTTTCAGATCTTCACTGCAGGTGGATTGACAGCTATCTTGATTCTTGGACACTGTGTTTTTGGGGTTTTGAGCACACCTTGGGGGTCCTTTATTGGATTATGTGTTGCAGCTACAAGTTTTTACAACTCCTCTGAGTGAGTTTGATGAATAAAATACATCCTGACAAATAGATGAGGAGTATGAAGAGAGACCCCCTCTCAAGCTGCAAGCATCATTTTATGATGTCTATGACTCTCACAATGGATGATCAAGGGAAAAGGCCCAAAAATCCTGCTGTTGGAATTGAAAAGTGGGACTTTAGCCATAAGTACCCCCCTCAACTACTTGGGTGGCAGGGACTTTGATAAGTTTAGATGTGAATCAAAATCTGGGGTTTATGACTTTTGTCCCAGTTTTCCTCAAGTTGAGTAACTGGGAAAAAAGCTAGGAAACCCCCGGATTTTGATGTTTGTATCCCATAAATGTACTCTTTCTCTGCTGAATGTTCTTGGTGATACAACACAGGTAGCACTTATGACATGACATCCAGTCTTGGTGCACACGCAGTTTGTTCTTGCATAAAAATAGAAATACGAAAAGCATAATCACAAAAAACAATTCCAAGGGGTAAGAGTTAAAGAAAGAAATAGTATCTGTGTGACTAAATGAAGTCCTGCAATATCCCCCAAAGTGAAACAGCTGATCTACGCCTCACGCGACAACAAGGTTTGTGATCGCCTCTTTATTTGTACCTTGAAGGAATGACTTGGATAAACTCATGACGATACAATGTCCCGAAACCTGGTATTCCGATGCTCCCCTGGTGAGGTTTTCGACTTGATCTCCCTCAAAACGCTCTCGAAAACGACATAGGTTGATGACATCACACCACATTGCAGTTGCAAGGCCACTTTGGAGGTCCTTCCGATTCCCCCGATGTTTTCTGAACATCAGTCTGTTTTTTTTGAGAACCTGCAGACTCCTCGCCGGTAAGCCGAAGTTCCGTGGTGGCGGATTGGGATTGAACTGCCTTGGAAGATTGATATCCTATATTGGGTATGAATTGCTCACTGCGTTCGGATGAGTGAAACAGATCTTCGTGTTAGCATTTTCTCTCTAAGTCGGCTCAGGCAAGGGCTGATTCGTGCAATATCAGTGATGACAAGGTCGACTCCTAAAAACTCACTACATGTTCGTTGGATCGCGGCCCAAGGCATTTTGCTTCTGACGCAACCAGACAATTGATCGCACAAGTCCAGCAAACAGTTCCTGTATGTTGATCTACGTGAACTTGAATATCAGTGAAAACATACGCGAGATCGCAGCAAGTCTTTTTGCTTCATAAAAAATTCCGGTTCAAGAGTTCATCAATTGCTTACGTTTTCTTTTGCCGAGCACTCTAAAAACATCCCGCCTGCTGCATCTGCCAGTTTATACCCTGTATCTTCTGCTACTTGTCTCGAGTCAGTCAGGTCAGATTTGTTTCCAGCGACGACAAATGGAAAAGGATAATCTTTTGGCCTCATGTTGGAAACCGCGGGTGGGTCGCGAAGTTGACTCGTGGAATTTTTCTTTGCATTCTTGATAATCTCCAAAAAACTTGGAACAGCGTTGAAAGATCCGATCGAATTGATAGCATAGGTGACTACGAAAGCGTCGCCTTGAGAGATAGCGTGCTCCACCCACAATCCTCTAAGCCCACGACAAAGTCACACCAAAACCAATTTAACTCGACCATTAGAATAGAATAAGATCCGTCGAGGTTCCTTAGAAGGTATGGTCGATGGAGCTGAAGAGGATCATAGCGTACCGATATTCCTCCTGGCCAGCAGTGTCCAAAATTTCAATTTGCCACTGAACGTTATCGACCATTGTTGTGAATAGAAAGCTATCATCGATAGTCTTGAGTACGCCAGCGCAAGGTTAGCATCAGATCGGTTGCCGAAATGGTCGCTCAAGACTCACGGGATCA